GGTGCACCGCTGTGCGCGGCGCTCTTCGCCAACTCGGCGGCCGCGGCTCTCAGGCCGCCCGAGCCGCCTGCGCAGCCGCGCGTGGAGCTGGAGCCCCCGAAGCCAAAGCTCCCGCCGCGCGAGGAGCCGCAGCAGGAGCCGAAGCTTCCGCCGCGCGAGGAGCCGCGCGATGAGCCGCGCGATGATGAGCCCGAGCCAGACCTGACCGACGAGGAGGAGAAGCTCAGGGCGCTCCTCGCCAAGAAGGCCAAGACCGCCAAGGCGAGGAAGCGCCCCTCCGCGGCTGGCGAAGGCGTCGGTGACGCCGAGGGCGGGGCAGGCGTCGAAGACGCCGAGGGGGCTGTGCCAATGAAGAAGGCGCGGCCCCCTGCCATGCGGCGACCCGCGGCTGCCGTGCCAAAGCCCGCCGTGCTGCCCAAGCCGCCGACGTGCGAGTGCAACGCGCCGTACAGGTGCGGCTACGTGATCTACAAGCCTTCACAGAAGGTGTTCAGGGCCGTTGTGGGGAGGGCAGATCGCCGCGTCCGCTTCGACCGCAATGCGACGATGAATCGCATTGAGGCTTGGAGCGCGGCGCTGGCGTGGATCGACGCCAAGTGTTAGGTGCTCGACGCGGGGAGGGGGAGGACCAGGGGGTTGTTGAGGACCAGCAGGGCTGGGAGCTCGCATCGCAGCTGCAGCGCGGCGGTGGGCGGCGCCACATCGACGAACTCCCTCGTGCTTGTATGACGTTGCACCATGATGTCTAAAACACAAGTCTGTTGCGATCTTTTCATCGCAAGTCGCATGCATCAATATGCAACACTCCTTTCTCTCGCGAGCGACCGTCGCACTTCGTACGCATCACTATGCACCTGTATGTCCTTCTGACGCGACGCCGTATCATGCCATATGCATCGTTATGCAACGTGCACTTCTGTTGTGATCTATCGCCTCGCTGCATTCAGATGCATCATGCAGCGTGCCCCTACCATAACGCTACGCATGCATCCTATGATGCGCATTGGCATCGTTATCGAGTCTGTAGCCATTTGGGCTGAAACCATGGCCGCGTCCGCCGCCAGGAAACGCAAGGCGGATGAGGCGCTGGTGGAGCTCCACAGGGGCTCATACCTGTCACAGCGTGCTCTGTCGGGTGTCCTAAAATATGTGCGAGACCATGGGTTGCCCGACAATATTTCACGGAGCTCACAATACAGGGCAAACGAAAACATCATTGCCAAAGAGTCGAACGCATATGGGAACGTCTTGCGTTGCATAGACACGCCTTTAGTCAGTGGTAGAACTTTCGAGAACTGGGTGTGCTGTCCTGGGCCATTTTTGTATTCCTGCTGCAAGGCTAGCGCTCCAGTCAGGGAGATGTTTCGCCGCTCACTTCAGGAGCACCCATGCAGCTTGGCGTCGCCGCGGCACATCATTTTATATTTCGATGGTATTTCACCGCGAGACCCCCTGGCGAAGGGGAAAGATTATCGGGGGGCTGATGTTGTTTACTGGTCGTTCGCTGAGTTCGACGAGTCCTCGGGTAACGAAGATGCGTGGTTCACGCTTAGCACTGCGCGGTGCGCAAAAATAAAAAGCATCCCAGGTGGCATCGGGCAGTGCATCAAGATGACCCCCAAAGAAGTTTTTTTCATTCTGCTGGTGGTTTCAATTTTGAGACGAGCGGTGTTACATTAGACGTGCCAGAGAACGGCGACGCAACGTCGCGCGCGACGATCGTCGCGAAGCTGTCGTGCGTCATAGGGGACGAAGAGGCATTGCGGGAACTACACATGAACAAAGGGCACGCTGGTTCCAAACCCTGTGCGTTATGTCGCAACGTCTTGAATAGAAAGTTTGATTATTTGACATATGATGTATCTGGTTTCTTTGCGACAGACGCGCGCTTGGATGCGTCAAAGATACGCAGAAACGATGACGCGACAATCATCGCGATCCTGGAACGGCTTCGGCCCGATTGGGATAAACATCAGCGGGGGGGGGGTTTTCAGAGGGGCAGTGCACGACCATCACACAGCACAAAGGATGGAACTTCCACCCCGAACACATAGCGCTGGACCCAGGTTTGCGATATCTCCCTGCGTCATTCATTTGCTTTGACTGGATGCATATTTATTTTGTGTCTGGTATATTCGACAGAGAAGTAAAAGCACTTTTAGGGCATGCGCAGTTCAAGTGTTTGTGTGATGCAATGGAGTTGCATGAGTATTTCATGAAGTGGACGTGGCCGAGTAAACACCACTCAGCCGCAACTGTATGGGAGACTGGTGAGCTCCAAGCAAGTGCCTCAGAAGAGATCTCTGCGTTGCCTGTTTTGTGCAGGTATATTCGGCAAGTAATTGCCATGCATCCTTCATCGGATCAAGTGGCCCCCCAGATCGCAAGTATGCTGGCATTGCAAGATGCCGTTGACATAATCATCACGGCGGCGCGGCGGCTTCCAGTCACGACC